ATTACATTTACTTATTACAGCTAATGTTTCTTGTTTATTTCAAAAGCATTCAGTTAATTAATATAAAATTTAAAGTACATGTGGCAGGAGAAGTGGATTTGACGTTGGGACTCGTGCAAAGGGAACACATCCATTTTCTTTGCGACCCCTTCACCATCGATTAAAGGTAGACAACGCACTGCAATTGTAGATGTTTATGGAGAGCGATCTGTTAGGCGGCCGGCACTTAGGGTCTTTTAAAAAAAAAACCCGCAAGACTTTTAGACTACTTTAATTAACTCTACAAATTATTCTGACTATGCAGCCTTTACATAATAAGTGGGGTTATAAAAGATCGCTTTGCTATTACAGCGAGTTCAGGTGACCGCTCGTTAGTTAACGACCATATGATATAAAACACAGTAATTTATAAAAATGTTGTCACAAAATTGCTCAAAATACGTTGATAGGTGTAAAGAATAAACACTTGTAAATACAGTGTTAACTCGAAGTTCAACGATTTTTGTTATGTGAACAAGTATATAATATTTTTAAAATTTAACACATAATTCACACCGCGTGAAATGAGAGCTTAATTGAGCCTCACAATATAATTTCAAATTTCATGAGGTGAATTAGCATATATATGACGACAGGCTGCTCTACTTTATTGCATTAATGAAAGCTAAATCGTACGTAAAATCTGTAAAATGGTACGTTCGTTGTTAACTAAAACAAAAGGAATGTAATCACGGTTTTGGTTATACCTGTTTTATGATCCAAATTTATTGTTTAAACCGTTATCGATAGTATCATATTACCGTGAATTTCCAACGCCGGTATGTTTTATAAAAAATAATGTCTCTGTTCTTTTAATAGGGAAAGAGAGGGATAACAATATGACCGAACACTAATAAACTTTAGGCTTCATGAAAAGGTTACATAAAAGATTTTGCATTAAAGTATTGTATTATAAAATGTACAAGGTGTTTAAGAAAAACTTACGCCGTGTAAACTTAAATTATAAAATAGTTTCCAAGTTGTACAAAGTAACAACAAACAAGTTGCAGTCGCCAAACTTTATATTTAATGTCTGCATTATTTTGCCTTATAATGTCACTGTGAAGTGACATAGTGGAATAAACTTTGTATGGCTGAAATAATCAGTAGTGACATTATTTAGGCGGCAAAGAAATTATCTTTCCGAATAATACTTAAGTTAGATACAAAATATTGTCAATTGGTTTGTTTTAATTTAACTTCTTACTAATATTATAAAAGCGAATGTTTGGATGGATGGATGTTTGTTTGAAGGTATCCCAAGAACGGCTTCACTCTCAATGTAATTTGGCATACATGAAGAATACTCTGACAGAACATATAGGCTACTAATAAATTTATTCTTTAATTCTGCGCGGACGAAGTCACAGGCGACAGCTAGTGACATAGATCAATTATATCAGAATCAAATGTGTTAGTTTTGAACGAAATTGAAATAATATGTATTAATAATTGTATCTATAAGAAATATCAGATTAGTAACTCAATAACAGATTAGTAACTTAGTTATTTTTAAATATTTACCTGATGTTTTTGTTTTAGTGAATTCTTTTGGGTAGTTGTTGTGTGGACACTTTACCCGTGTTTGAGTAGATGTATAACGCGAGGGTTCTTTGTAATAAATGAAACGAAGCTAATTAAATTCAATATTAAAAATAAAACAGTAAGTACTAGAGGGGTATTTGCTCATTAATGAATATACTTTGATCATTGGTTCGTGTAGTTATTTAATTAAGTTTAGAAATACGAATTAGGTTTTATTCATGCGTGAATATACGAATCTTTTACAAAATAATGTTCAATCAAACTAAACAATTTAAATTCATACTAACTTAAACAAAGTGTAATAAGGCTAAATAATTAATGAATTAAATGTTTACTTAATCATCAGCTCTCTATACGTCCACCACCGAAGGGCTCGGAGCTTAACCTAAGTTAGGGGGGGACTAGACCATAGTCAACCGGTTGCGAGCGTTCAGGGTGGGGTCCTTAACGCTCAAGCGGCCCTGAGAAGGTGGTCGAACCTAAGAGTACGACGGAGCTGGACCCAAAAGATCTAGGCGTTGGAGGGTGGCGGTTGTGTTCCGTACGGAGATCCCGCCGCCCCCCTTGTTAACGCCGGTGGCGACCACCGTGTGGTTTTAGTCGGTGCAAGCCCAACATTTCCCCACGATAAAAAAGGCCATAGTTAACCACGCTGGCCAAGAGCGGGTTGGTTGATTTCACACATATCTTTTAATTTCTTCTCAGATATGTATAGGTTGCATTACGATGCTTTCCTTCACAGTAAGAGCAAGTCAAGTGCTTGATCCCTGAGCCACCGTTGCTATAATTTCAATAATAGCAATAATTAATTATTTATGAATAACAAACAAATTTATAAAAATCTCATTTCTTTGTAAAATTTGAACTAAAAGATAAGTCTTGGTAATTTTCCGTCGAACGCTGAATCTGCAATTGAGCCAAAGATTCATTCGATTCTTGAAATATTATTGAGAGAGACAGGACTCGAGAAAAGTCCACTTATACAGATTTTCTGGATTAAGAAGTTTAATTAGTAGACTTACTCACTTAATGTACCTTTGACAAGTTTCAACAACTTTGTAAAATATTTAGAACGGCTTCTAAGTTTTGAATTTTATTGTTTTATCTTCCTTCTAACTGTAGATAATAGAATTTTGAATATTTTGACCTTATACAGAATGTCAATGATGATATTTAAAAAAAAATTAAGCGTTACTTTTTATACGGTCATTATTCATATTATTTTATAGATTTCTTACCTATTATATATTGATGTAAACTCATCATTCCAACTTAAGCGACAGGCTAATCCAGAGAATCCCCTAGGAGCATCTCAATGAACATCAATATGGTAAGGGCATTAAGATTAATGTCGTAACAAATTTGTTTAATTTCCATTCAACCTAAGAAATGGATAACTCTGTACATTATCTTCTAGGAACATCCGTATTGAACTAAAGGAATGGTTTCAATAAGTATAAAGCTAAAAAGTAACACAATTATCTGGCGACATACAAGCGAGAAAAAATATTAAAAGTATTTTTATGCTCTTTAAAAATGGAATACAAGACGCTTTTAAAAATGTACATCCTGTAACATAGTTTTTGAAGCAAATTATACGGGACAATGTTAGTACCCGTTGCGAGCAAACGACTTTTGTTTGAAAACAAGTGACATTTATCTTATGCACCTGTAGATGGCGCTGTCGGCCTCACGTCAAATGTTAATGATTAACAAAATACAGTTAGAATAAATTTATTAAATTAAAAAATAATATTAAAAAAATAAAGTCATGAAAATCAAGTTAATTTTTTTACATTTAAAAATGTTGAGTGTGTTTACGAAAATCTTAAACCATGATTTGTGTGTGTAACTTACTTTAATTTTACACTGTAAAAAAAATTATGGATAAACATTTTTTTTTTCAAAAAAAACATTTTTTTCGAGTCAGATGTTACTAGCGTAGTATATGTCGTCTAAGGTTTTATAAGTCATGTTAGTTGTATGTTCCTACAAGCGCTTATTAACTGAACCGTTTTTGAGAAGGTCGCTATGCGGGAACGCCATTTCCCAGTGGGATTTAGCTGTCAAACATGAAATAAATCCTTGACTTGCACGAAAAATCCGTTTGTGAATGTCCATTCTATCAGTATGATGGATCGAATTCGTACCTGGATTTTGTAAAAAGATTGTTCCACAAATTGTACAAAATGAATTTAAAAATATCGGTACCATAAAATAAAAAAAAAAAAACTAGCAAACACTTGATCAACAGATTTTGCTAAACTTAGTAGCTACCACTAAAGACGTCATCACCGGAAAATAACAATATTTTACAAGCCTATTTCCTTCGTGATAAATTTTTTTTTTTTTTTGGTATGCTTTTATGAAGAGAAAAAAACTTTTTCAAGATTCTTCCAAGTATATGGTTCAGTCCCTGTCATGAATTGTAATCATCATAAATCAAACATTATACGATTGAATTAAAGAGGGCGGCCGTCAGCGAAGCGAAACTTATCCGAGCCGTATTGTTAGCAATCATATGGAATATATCACTTTATCTACCCTTACACGTACTAAGTCGGACTACATTAATGATACACGTTATTTAGCTTACCGACATTTTATCAAATGAATTAAAATATAAATAAAACTAGCTATCGCCCGCTACTCCGTCCGCGCGGGATTAAAAATAGATGTTAGCCGATTCTCAGACCTACTCAATATGCTCAGAAAATTTCATTAGAGTCGGTCAAGCCGTTTCGGAAGAGTATGGGAACGAAAATTGTGACACGAGATTTTTTTATATAAGATAAATACGTCGCATGAATAAAATCATACACTGTGACAACCGTTGGCCCATGATTTGTTGGTAATTAACAAACTGCTGGCGAAGCTGGGCCCAATTAAAATACTTGCACGGTTCACAGCGAAGACAATTTTACAACTGACCGTTCCAATTAAGTAGGAACATTAGCGGTCCTACATTGGGTCAGTAATTAATATCAAAATGAATTCGGCGTTCGCAGATTCGGGGCTCGCGGCGAAATATCTATTAATTTGGCCGTAAAGCTCGGCCGTTACGGCGACTCGCCAATTATTCCCGTTCCTGCCTCCCTCGATAATTAAATTCTATGATGTTAGCTGAATCTAAGACAGACGCCGTTTGCGATACTCGAATTACTGTTTCATTGCCCGTAAAATATACGAGAGTCTTAGTAATGAGCGAACTTTAAAGAGAATTTCTTTTATAAATAGCCCTAATACAAAACGAAATGTTGATAATTTGAATAATGAATTAGTTGGAATAGCATAAACGTTAAGTGCTGATTTATTTATTTAAATAATAAAATGTTAAAATGTATTTTTTTTCAAGGATAAAAGTAATAAAATAAAGTTATAATTCTAAAATAATTTATTGTATTCTTTTCCTTTTATAAAACAATTGCTTACTATCTAACTTAAGATTATTTTTACAATAAACATACCTACATTAAATAGCAATCTCTCTACACAAATTCATCGTTTTTATATATCTATACAGTTGCAATTTTACTTTATTTTAATATTATAATAAATAAAATAAATTGTCACGAAACTATTGCGTTAAAAAAGTATTGAATAACAGAGCGATGGCAACAAATCAAAAGCCAATTCCTTATCTCAGTCTATATCTATCTTAATAATACAATGGGAAATCGAAGCGAACTATATTTTTATTTATAATACAATAATATTTTTGAATTACAATATTAATACTGGCATTCTTAAAGGAGGTTATTGCTTTCAATTGCCAATGACAATAATTAATTTATTAATTTCTATTCACAAAAATAATAAAAGTTTTCATTATGATTCTATATTAATATTAAGCATACTCCACAAGGCACTATTCTAGCGAGATTACCTACAAAAATTCAACTTAAATAAAAACAACGCGAACAACATCTATTAAATTCGGTTTCAAACTCCGAAAATGGGCCTCAAATTACAACACATCTTCATTATGAAATAAAACAAATATTAAATAACATCAAGTTTTTGAAACTTAAGCCATTTTATACGAACTCCACAATAAGTTGAACAAACTTAATACACGCAACACTAAAGTTCTTTTAACCGTAACTACACTAAATAAATGCGATCGTAAAACAAAGCAATTTCATTTCTATTATTAAAAAATAACTTTTTATAGTGCGGTTATTATTATATTAAATTGGCGCTTATATTGCTCTTTATATTAGTATTATTAAATTGGGGATGTGCACGATTTATAGTTAAATTATTTCTTATCATAAATGCATAAATAGGTACCTATTGGTCTTTTATAAAGAGCCTTAATTATTAATACCGTACATTGTATTATCATTTCCAAAACGTATGTATGTATTTATATGAAATCATATTTGTTATATACGAAAAAGATTAGAACATAAAAGTTTATATATATCTTATGTACATTTGTAATCAATGTATTGTCTGTGTTATATACTCTAACTTTCTCTTTCAAATGTATAGCAATCAACAATTGAATTGGCACGTCGTAAATAAAAGTGTTCATCTGCTCGATGTGCCAACTCCAGCGTCAATACTATAGTACAATGTCGCTCTATAAGGATACGTAACTCTTAATAGGATAGACAACTCAAATCCATAGGCATTTGTGGAATTTTCTAACCAAATTGTCAAACTTGAACTGATATCACAGCATTTTGTATTCATGAATTATCATCGACCCTACTTATTGTAATATTTACAATTAACTTCCAACACAATATTATACGTACATCAAATACCAACATTAATTTATCGACACTCTATATAATGAAAAAAAATCGTATTGACATTTACAAACCAGTACTCAGTCGTTTTTTTAACGATTCATACAAATGTAACTTTATTGCTGAGTAACGTAAACTATTCGATATTAACAACATTACTTAGCAAAATTACATAAGAAAATTCCCAATTCCCAAACATAACAATCGCAACCCCCAGTTAAATAAAGGCAGTCATCAATCAAACGTCTCAGTAACCGGAACCACAGACAAATCTATGAAGTTATCTTTTACCGGATCGTATTTCCTTTTCAAAATGCTATTTATTCTTCAATATTGAATCGAGCTTACAAATTGAATTATTTTGAATGCTTTATGTAATCTCAATTGAACATTTCAACTTGAAACAATTTTAGTAATTGATTGATAATAATATACTCTATTTCAATAGGCATAAGATATCTATTTCTTGAAGATTTTTAAAGAATTAACTCGTGACATAGACTAATGTTGATAACAAATACTATGACAAATTATCAGTTACGATGATGTTTTATAGTACTTATACTCGTACTGTTTAGTTATCTGCATACTAAAGTAAATATCAGCTGCACATACACACGCAGGAAGTGCTTTACATAAAATTTAGCAAAGTATCCATATTAAACCACTCTTAGTAATAAGTGAGAGGAGTAATAAATAAAATATCGTATAGTTTACGTGTGAGCGAGGCTCGGTGTAAAGTTAGAGATTGATTCAGTGAACGCTATCACCGCAACGACGCGACAATCTCGTTATCCATATTGTTCTGCTGGCTCGAGGAATTCAAACTTTTGGAACATTGCTGTAGAAAAACAGTAATATTAATAACCTAAAAAAAAGTAAGTTGCACGTACGAAAACTCTGAGCCTTATTAGACTGTTATCGGCACGGCGTAGCATATAGCAAACACCAAAAAACAATGAAAATTGTTGGATGTTTTGTAACAAAAGAACTTGTAATTTATATCTCAATACAATGTCCAGACTAGAATAAATCTAACTCTATTAATCAATTCTAGTAGATTTACTATAATAATAGAGATTACTACACAAGATGTACCATGCAACTTTTCGCATTAATTTGTACGTAAATATATGTAGAATGTAAAATTAATTTAATAATCATTTACATTTTAGTTAAAATGTCACTTAATTCAAGCGCTATGTACTATTCTGTTAGTTTGTAAGATGAATGTGATTGCAAATAAAATCTGTCTCACCATTTGTCGGGACTCCCAGGCTTTCATTGCACTCTTGTACTTCTCAAACTCATGACACCAGTCTGAATACACTTGTTTGTACTCCTGTGACCTACTCGGTTGGCTACATCTTAAACAATATTAAAAGTTATATTACAATTTTAAATTAACACGTTAGCTGCCAGAATGATTTTTCGAAAAACGAAAAAAATTGACCCGCTGTTTATAAGCTTTATGGCCCCTTGCATATCACGCTGTATACAACAATTTGATTAGAAAGCGTCCGACAAGCTACAGCGAGGTGTTGAATGGAAGTATAGCTTGTCGGACATTAGATTGTCGGAAATATAGTCCGACATGGCAGCTAACGTGTTAATCAATTATCATCATTGACAAAAAGAAATGATGTAGAAGTATCACAAGGTATGAAAACATTAAAAAGTGACACATAAAATATCACAGAGTGACCAGAATCTATCTAATCAACAAATTAATATTTAGCAACCAAAAAATAACAACTTTTGAATAAGAATTTAACACATTCTGATTTGAATGTATTATAAGAATTCATTACCTATAAGAAGCTAATATTGCTTATAATTATAATTTCATTGTAGTGCTTTAATAAAGTCGATTGTTATATCATTTTGTTCTTCGATGCTCATCGATAGCTCTCTTGCTAACGAGCAAGCAACTCGTTAAACTTGAACGTGAGAACAAACAAGTCTCGTATGAGACGTTTTATATCGCACCTAAATAAAATCTAATGAGCGTCTGTAAATTCTCAACAAGGTGCCACAAAAACTGGAAGTTATCCTAACTTTCCGTAACAACAACAACAAACATTTGCCGTGGAGACAAAGATAGTAGATTTATAGCTTCATTTATACACAATGCTTACGCGTTCATAGTTCACTACTGTTCCTAACATTTAAAAAATATAAATTAGGCGTGGACCGTCCACCGACTATTCTCCCACTGATTTTTGTGCTTTTCTTCTTTTATTTGTTTTTTCTTTCGACATAAGTATATCGTCTTCATTCTTTATACATTTTTGAAACACTATCAAAACATTTCTATCACGTTTTTCGACCACGCAATTACGAGTAATAGTCAAAAATATCTTATGAATATTTTTTATTCTCAAATTAAATGAATGCAATTTACCTTTGGGTGTCAATGTCGAGATTGTAAGAGGCGATGAGCGTGGGACCGAAGTAACACTCGTAGCGACCTCGATCTGACTCCGTCACTGATAATAACACCAGACCCCGTTCAGAGGTTTGCAGTATACGTTCCCAACTAAAACAAGGAAAAGAAAAATTAAAAAAAAATGCAAATTCGGTAAAATATTGCCCAATATTTTGAAAAGCTATAAATTAACTTTCGTAAATAAACTTGTTACCGATCAATAATACTTACTTATAGTTAATTTTGTAACGTCCCTTTTCTCTGGAATGATGATACCAAACGACGATCTGGTCTTTTAATGCTTCGGGTGTCTTCCCGAAAGCTGCCATATGCACGCTCTGTCCATACCCAGCCCGCACAGTCCGCAGGGGGGCGCTAGCTTCGCAAATCGATGGCGTAGAGTTGGTAGCGTCGTGGAGAAGGCCTGGTGTGTACGGACGACAAATTCCCGCCTCTTTGTCCCACCCACAGTAAGGATCTAAGACGCAGCGTACACAACTGTCGTATCTGTTATTTTGAGAAATGTGATCTCTGTTATTAAGTTATCAAACTCAGTCATCTGTCAGCAAAATGTAAAAAAAGATGTCTTTGTCGACAACCATTCTGCACTAAACTTAACAAAGATGATGTAACACATATTGGCCAACCCCATAAATACGTCTTGGTGAGTTTAGATATAGACAATAAAATCGTCAGAAAATATTACTGTAATATAAGAAGCTGTCTAATTAGAAGAATTAGTATTATAACAACGTTTTAAAATACATACATTCGTAAACCGTTTCACTAATTAGTAACGTCTATTTTAGGCTCTCAAATTGTCAATTTCTTTTAAAACAGTTGGGCGGTTACACAAAGGAATCTATTCTATCGTAATAACATCAAAAAAAGTTCACAATTAGGGTGTTACTCACCGATGCGTGCACGCGCGTAGCGGCAGTTGTCGAAGGCGGTTGTCTGTGGCGAGGTAGAGTGCGTGTGTGCGTCGCGAGAGCGCGAGGGCGCGCACCGCCTCTGTGCCCGCCGCACGCCACACGTCCGATACTCGGGACCCACCCCCGGCCCACTGCACTATCTTGTACACCTCGCCGCTACCTTTTTAACATTCGCTTCGTCAATTTAACCCCTTCATAAGCTTAATGTATATTAATACAAGTATATTTTGGTACCAAAAAATATTAATTAACACAAAGTAAGTCTTTTTAATTTGTTGTATATTTGAAGTTTGTGGTGTAAGATATGAGTCTTAAATGTAACTTTAGTTATAAACAGAGATGTATAAAAGCAATTTACAAATTACGATGACTCTTATCGATAGGTAACTTGTCTACCTATTGATCTTTGGTACACATAACAATACTTTCAACAATCTCAATGATATATTGTATAACGATTATCCATTATATTTCAAACCAAACGTATTTTCTATGTAGACTTACTAGTGCCGGCATAAAAAACGGTGTAAGTGATGTCATCTCCCAGCATATCTACGAACTGTTTGTCTACGACCAGCGTGGTCAGCACTAGGTCCCTTTTGTAGAAGGCTGGCGCGTCGCCTTCTTGTCTTACCGCTGAGTCCATTAAAGGGTGAGACCTTTCAGAAAGTAAAATTCATATTAAACTAGCTGTCGCCCGTATTAAAAAAAACACGTTCTCGAGTTTTAGCGCGACTAACGAATAGCAATTGATTTTTATACATATAGAATAAGAAAATTGGATTTAACTTTAAATTCTCGTAAATCCACTTCGCTTAATTTCTTTTATCATTGAAGTGAATTTCTTTATTTACGCTCATTGGTATCGTTAATAATAAATCAGTAGTAGTTTAGTATTCCGCCGTCAATTAAGATACATGTATGTGACCCAATTAAGAGAGCACGCATCGCAGCTAACGCACGATATGTCCTCGTATGAGATTAGTTTCTGAGATATATAAGACCAAATCCTCTGCTTTTCCATTAACCTAATTTCCTTAAGATATAAAACGTTTTACGAGAACGACAGCTCTTTATTAATTATACTATGTATAATAGTTAATTATTCTTGTATTATTTTTTTCAAAATGATTTTTAGATTTGTAATATGAAATTTAATAAGGTAATGAATTATTGGCTTAATAGTTGGTTTCCGAGTCGTCTGTATAAAACATATTGATATGTATGTTATGTTAATGAGAGGAATGACGATGTTTTATATCGAGATTTTGTTCTCAGAAACCACGATGAGTCGAACATTTCCATTTAGTCGAGCTTATTTTAGTATACGTTTATCAGTATCATTACAGCCGTCTTCGCAGTCAAACGAGCGATACTCGTATCATCCATAACTTGCGATAAAAGTCATTAGGACGCGCCGTTCGAGATTTAATCCCTATTCCCTAAATTGGAATGGGCTGTTAAACTAACCTAAACTAAATAAGCATTATTTAAGTGATAGCCAATAATAATCTCGTCTAAAATTTGTAATTTTACAAGCGACTTCAAACCAGTTTTTTTTTGTTTTCGCAGATTCTTACTTTTACAGTATGACTCATAATATTTTAAAGGTTATCAAAGCCATCCCTTAGTGTTGTTTTTTTTAAATAACGTCCTCCCTTCGTGACCTTTAAACGACTCTGAATACGGCCATTTCTTCTTTTGCTCAAAGATATAAGATGTGAAAGGTAACGAACTATTTTTTTCTAAAACTTACCTAATAAAATTAAGTACATTGTCAGGCAGTGCCTCAGTATTGTTGACACAGGTGCCGGGGCGGGGTTCCGGCACTCTGGCCCTCAGCACTGGTAACCACGCCGAGCTTGACGTTGCCTAAACAAATACGTAATCAATGAATAAGACCATCAAAACCTTTGGATGATGTATTGTAAACAGTTTAATTGTATAATATTGAAACAAATTGGTTAAGAGCTATGGAGTGTGAGGCTAACAGTTCAAAGCGCACGCTTTCAAGTTCTTTTGCTTAACTGAATGGGATGCAGCAATTTGTGCAGATAGACTGTTATAAGTTTATTCTGGTATTTCAAACGAGTAGGCATCGAAGGTGATCACCTTTTAATGTCTTTGTTATACTATGTTAATTTTATATGTTAGAATAATATAGATATATTCATTACCTGCTCCTTAAATCGTCCAGCAAATGCGTTTTGTATATCTTCCATAGTATATGTACAAATGGCTGAACCGACCAGACCATCACTCGCTCCCGTTGTGAACGCCGCATAGAAACGACTGGTATCTCCTGGCATTTGATAGACACTCTCTACGCCAAAACAAAAAATAGTTAAGTAACACATTAATCCAATGGATTTACGATGTAAACTAAATCTAAACTAACTAACTAACTAAATCCCATTTTAAACTTAAACCTAAACATAGAAGTAAAAAAAAATTTTTTTGAAAATATACTAGAAAAATAGTGAGATAACAATACTAGTAACATTTAAGGGATTAATAGATTTATCTTATTTATATCTTTATAATGTATATAACTTACGTATTTCATCAAAATAGAAAGGGAACTCTCCGGGTATGCTGCAGTTGAGTCTAGCTTTTAAATAAGTGGCCCAGTTCTGGCTAAGTATGTGCTTGCCCCCCGTATCTTGTTTGCAAACCCGCGCCACTCGAGAATACACCGCCTTTCCACAGTTCATGAATTCCACTGCCGTTTCTCGGAAAAATAACAGAACGTACTCCCCCACGTCGAAAGATCCAACGAAATTTGTTTCTAAAATAAAACATAACAATTAAACAACACAATTTTCCCGGTTTAATGGAAACTAAACGATCATTCAACTAATACAATAACTTATAATACCACTTTGCCAAAATGATTGATTTCTTAGACAAAATTCTTGTAAAATATTTTGCAGTGGCAATTACTCATAAATAATTGAAATATTATAAATTACTTACTATCCAACCATTTAGAATCATATTTCAATGTCCTCTTGAAATTAAACCGCTTTTGTCCTGTCCGGAAGTCGAAGAGATCATTGCGGAAAATGACTGGATCCGCCTTAGTGAACTCCGCGTTGGTCCCCGCGTAGAGCGCTGGCAGCCCGCCAGGGTTACCTCTCGTGACCCACACCGCGGTGCTGTTGTCCGCAGGGTCGTAAGGGCATTTCGCAACCCCTAGACCCACTCCTGGCACGTACTCGTGCCGGGGAAGATGAGTTAAGTTTAACTGTATAAATAGATAACATTAAAAGAAACAGATCCAGTTGAGCAATTAGGGTTGTCACATTCATGCATGCCTGTTTTGATAGATTTCGGCTTTCCTAAACTAAAAGATATGCATCAACATATTGGAAAATATACAAGCTACTAATGAAGATCTAAAAATTTAATTATATATTGCCTTTTATAAAAGAAACAACCACATCCTTTTGTACTATAGTAATTTATCTATTACACCTTAACGAGTTTTCCTGGATCGTATTCCGTTGCGGTCTTATTTCAGGTGAGGTAAAAGATAAACAAAACTCATTTGTTATCTTACACTACCGCAACAGCGCTCACATCGCCCTACTCTACGAACACGAATCTATTCAGTGCAGTTAATAAAAACATTGAAGAAATTATCTCTTGCGAGCCAATCAAAACACTACTATGAAGAAGTGATAAAATTTTAACGAACCGTTAAAATACATTTTTACAGTTCAGCACTGTCTTAATTTTTTTTATTTTAACTATCGTACAGCTTTTATAAGACTCAATTTCACTAATTATAATTTTGTTATCGAGATTATTTGTATTAATAAAGTTATAAAAATGTTCACTTCAGTCAGTTGAAAATTATTCTTGATTCTTCTTTTGTTTACTTTCAAAATGAAAACATGAAAAAAAATCATTGTCACCATTAATATTTGCAATGGCAACATCACGCGAAATACATATTCAACGTTGGACGAGTTTATTAGCTTAACTTATATTGTAAAGTGCAATAATATATTGTTTAAAATTATCTTCTTACTCGACTTTTTGCATGATATTGGCACCAATAAGGGACTGCTTAAGCATTCTTTATACCATTGTGAGTATGGCAGTGAACCATACACCTATTGTAATTGTGTACTTACATATACGACCCAGTCTTTGGGACTGTGCGCATTGGTGCCGCACACGTAGAGTCTGTCACCGTCGCCAAGCGGCTGCAGCACTCGGATGTGGTTCCTGCACTCGAACGGCTCCGATTTGCCCTTGCTTACGCATCGCGCTACATTACTCGCCTCCAGGACCAATGCATCTCGCTATAACAAACGATTCTGTTTATTAAATCATAATCATCCCCCGTGTTACCAATGTCAAAACACTCCTATTATAAAGTTATTGCTACGTAACTCAATTTCTTTCCAAACAGAGAGGCTAAATTTAAAAAAAGCCCCAATAATAGTTGAATTTTTAAAGTCGGCAGTCACAGAAAGCTTTACTTTGTAAACCTTAAAGAGCGCCAAGCTCAAGCTTTCGCGTAATTGTAAGTGTTTTTTTCCTTTAAAGTGAAATTACTTTAATAAAAACTCATGTGGCGTAGAGATGGGTTAAAAAGCTCGCGCGCGTATAGAGTGTCGTGCTTTGAAACTTAGTGAGCGTACACGAGCTTTTCTATCTTCATTATGAAACAGTACCTCTATGTGAATCATTTCTATTTATATAAAATGTATACTGACCTCGCAATGCGACTGACTAATGTCCGTCATGTTCAGTTTGAATATTCGATCCCTGTAACAAAAGCAGAGGAAGTCACATTATGTTATGCTAATTTCACACAAGGACAGAACAGCGAAGCAGTGCAGTACTTGTATTGTTTGAACACACAACGCTAATAAAATGAGTGTCCAAAAAATAGAAGAACGCACTGCACCGTCTACTGTTCTGTCCTTGTGTGAAACTAGCCTTAGTTACGAAAATAGCAATTCGCATTAAATGATGAATGCTAATGTTACGTTTCCCGGCAAATGTTGCAAATTATTAAAGCTATAACGCATTCATGCGCTATTTTTGATTATTGACTAATGTTTCCTGAATTCTTGATAGTTACTTAGTTCATTAGTTTATAACTAAATATGAGCTATTATCTATAGTAGAGAAACGTAGATTTACCAATTTGGTCAAAAAAATTAAAGCTGCAGAAACTTGTATCTTTAAAATCCCCTTAACTAGGTATAAAAAGAAACTGAAACCTGTATTTTATTCCTCAATTGGAATACCTCTTTAGTTTGTTGTTTAGCAAATTGGAAATAGTGAATTGAAGTAAATTGAACACGAATGCAAAGCCCATAGCATTGGTGATCAGTGGCGAGGCCGATCGATTGCTCGCAAGTGTTTGTTGAGAGCGTTCCAATTCCATTTGCCGAGAGAGAGGTGCCGCCCGCTCCTTGCCACTTGACATAAAAATCACTTTTCGTCATCATCAGCTATGACGTGTGAATACACTATGCAAGTTTATTATTTTACTCGACTTGCTATCACATAATTAGGTAATACTGAAAGCTTGGACATAATTTATCCTGTGGCAACTGGATTAGTAATGTTAAAATACGTGGAAGAAATAAAAAAAAACAATCAAATTAATATCGCAAAAGAGTTATCTTCTTAGCAATGTTTGTGAAAACTTAAATACACTAGCTCATTGTGTATAAGAATATAATTTTACTAATATCAAAGATAAGTCTGTTAATAAAATAACATTGATATAGAATTGTAAATCAACCGAATTACAGCATGTATCAAATCTAATAACATAATTCGTAGCTTAAGGATAAACAAAATAACTTGAGTTATTATAAATAGAACACGCTTTGCCACGCACGAACAAACGTGACGGTTTTCACGGCACTGAACAAACAAAATTGACAGAGATTGTAGATAATTGACTTTCATGTCTCGGTCCCATTTCCCTCGCGGCAGCGGCGGATCATTACTGTGTCGTTGAATAGCACAAAAGCTCCAAGTCAATATTAGCGTATGCCTAATAATACGTTAAATGAATAATTTCCTAGCCATTTCTTCTGCGGTCGTAATTATTGTGGCGATTGTTAAATTTATACGCAACTCGTTAATAACTTTTAACCCTATTATTAACAACAAATTCCAATGTAGGCGTTCGAAATTATAATTTAAACATCAATGAACTAAACTTGTAACTAATATTTGTATTCCTAATTGAAATAAAATATTTACTACAATTAGTTTTACTATACACATGCGTACAAAGAGATTTAGTGAAAATAATAATTAAATATGTAGTTAAATAACATATGCGATCAACATTATGTTTACGAAAAATCTGAAAAGGACTAAATCACACTGCTACGAAACATATGTTTTGTATCTTAAATTAAGTAAAAATAGAAATAAGCATTAAAATATTCTAGTGAAGTAGAAAACGTTACTTACATAGCACCAACATAAAGCGTATTTCTCTCTTCATTCATATATAATGTGCGGTAAAACAGATTGCCGCATGAAAACTCGCGTATGTGATCTGAAAAGAAAAAAAAAACGTTACACTATATTTTCACTTTTTTTATCCGTCTAACTATGAAAACAAAAAATATCTTTATATAACTGTAATAAAGTGTAATAATATCTATAGTATGTAGTAGTAAGTATTTTCTTACTATGTTTGCTTATTTATCGTGAGTTTCTGAGACCATAATCCCGTTATCTCTGTTTTGTAAAAGAGAGGGATGATATGTTTTATACAGTGAATTAGATTAATTTACAAAATGTTTATTGTTAAGGATACATTTTATCATTTTCTCAAAAATATTCTTTAGTAAATCAGGCATTATACATTAAATTGATTTGTGGTATGCAACGAGATTAATTGAATTAATATATTACCATTGATTCTATAATTGACTGGTTGCATAACCATTATCGACATTAAACCAAATAGACCATAATTCTGACAAATGTCAATTGTTATCTGTCAAAATTTGGTTAACGATAAGGAATATTATCTGGTACAACCTCGATGATATATTGACATCGATTAACATATATCTTCGTATTAAATGACATACTGGATTACCCGATATTCACCTAAAGGTCTATGCAAAGGTCATAAAAGAGTTTACTATTTCAAAATGTTTGTAGGCAACAAAGAAATCTACTCGTTTGCTTATAGATATTGGCTCAATTATATCAGAAAGTTGTGCAAAATACTTTGGAATTTTCTAGCCGTAAAATAATATAAATTAGATAGTAAGTATGGGTAATGCGACATCCTCAAAACTTTATTTACTTGAATAAAAGTAGCTGAAAATTATACTAGCTTAATTTCCAAGCCGAGATTTCCGATGCCGTTCTTTTAGCTAAATAGCATTGATTTTGTATTTGAATAATTTAGTATTAAAGAAACGCAGTAGATCCACTCGCGTTGATAAATATTTTCCACGAAAACAAACCGTAGTTGGTTGCAATTTCAGTCGGCAGCTAATTATGACCGTTGTTACGATAGCCGGTGATTATTGGCAGGTGCAGCCGCGACGCACGCTACCTTACGTGATCCTCCCACTTCCCCTCTCTGGCCTCTCCTCGTACCCTACAACCCCCTAAATATCCGGGTTGTAAAAACCCCGATTATAACTTGAGTGTATTAAACTTTGTCCAACTTGATTAAGTTTTTTTCTTTTTAATTCACTCAACTGTAAATAACGATCCAAAAATGTTAATAGCGCCGTATTAAATTTCTTTTTTTTTTTAATTAACTGTTTACTTTCTAAATTCGGTGATGAACATGCGTTCGATTTTTATTCTGTATTGGTTGAGCATTATTCTGACCTGATTTGTGTTTCTTTTTCAATATTCCCAGAATGTATTGTTTCAGTTGAAAATCTAAACAAGTACTGGTATTATTCGTAATTTGAAATTGAAATTATGTTTGCAAATAGTTATATTTGATTTTCCAATTCCATTGAACTTTCCTTGTCCACCATTTTACAGTAAGGTTTATTTATAGTAAGGAAAGGATGATTATGAGGAAGTTGATTTGGCAAGGGATGTATTATTTTCTGGTCTGTATAATGCAGTAATGTGATATACAAATACAAATTAATTTGAAATTAAAACGTGATCGTCATTGAGGCCGTCATTTAATCAAACACGTTTGGCAACAATGTCCGAGCGGCGGTTGAATACCGCAGCGATTACAGCGCTAATGAAGTCATTGTTTGAATATCTAACGAACTGTGTACCGCGATTTATACGATACAGGGGGCACGCGCCCGCGTCACGCTCTTCTAATTAATAAGTACGTGGTGCCTACTTTGCGAGCCCTAAATGAGTTTAACACAACGTGATGCCGTTCGTATTCCGTACGTGAGCTCAGTTTAGTTTGACCTGATGTTTTATATCTTTACATGTCAGTGATTATGTCAAAGTGCCAATAGACTCTCTACTTAAGGATACGGACCACCGATCGTGTGGTAGATGGTTTAACCAACCATTCAACTTTTGCATGAACTCACTTTTGTGAACAAATGTGTTTCATTTATTTTGTAATTAATAGAAAAAATATAGCTTAACTTATATTTTAGCAATAAAAAATATCCAAATAAAACATTAAAAAATTATCCTACAGAAGTACTCATTTTTGTTAAATTGCAATAAATATATCGGCGGGCGTGTGTACACACACTAAGATAATTCTTGTAATTATAGTTTGCGCACATTCTATTCATAAAAAGCCGCATTGACAACAACGTACTTTCCGCCTATTCGCTTCACCCCGATACGGCCGAGCCATTTTCATTAATAAAATGATTCGTAGTATTTTGCCTGTAAAAAGTAAGGTGTCCATGTTTTTAGAGGATTTTTCAAAATTTTTATTACATTTAAAAATTCATTTTAAACATAATTTTCATCTAACCAAGACAGGTTTTACTTTTACATTTTGTAATAACCAAATACATTAATTTATTCAAACTTTCGTGAGACATTATCGTCGCTGACTGAGAGTGAGCGACGGGCAACGTCCGCGGAATAATACCACTACCACTCATCCTGATGAAGGGCCCCCGATAGCCTCGAAACTAGTCGATGCCGCCAACGGACGAATATACGTGAGTGTTTAGCCGTGTTTATATATCAGTTTAACCAAATACATATTTTTTTTCAAACATTAAGTTTTAGAGGTTTTATATCTTAATTTCTTAGAAAAAGTACTTATCTCTACTGACGGTAGTGACTGTATGCTACATTTATAACATTTTCCACTCAACTTTTATCCTAATTGCCTATAACGAAACATTTCAACGTTTACATTACGCTTTGAAAAAGATATTACATATTAGTTGTCATTACTTTGTTATTATCTGTCACAATAAATGGCTTCTTTAAACGTGTGTTATTTACCAAAACAACTATTTTAAAAAGCAACTTAAAAATATCTTTTGTATTAATAACACCAAAAGAAATAATCAGAGAAATTAATATGGTTTGTGCAATTAATCTATACAGTTTTCCTTTTATAAATAAAATAGCCCGCAACTCCGTCCGCGCGGATTTAACAAAAAAAACACCCATTAGTAACCTATGTGTTCTCCCAGACTATGTTCTATATATATACCAAATTTCATCGAGAACCGTTCAGCCGTTCTGGAGATACTTTCAAACAAACACCCATCCATCCATCCATTCCCCCATCCATCTATCTATACATTTGCATTTATAATATTAGTAAGTAGTAATCAAATTAATTCAGATATTCTGAACTATTTTAAAGCTGTGAACTAAAAACCATTCATACATTATATTATTTTATGCAATAATACCATAAAACATATTAATACATCTGTATCTAATATCACTGATCGTATAAAGCGATAAATAATTTGATATTAAAATAATCGAACCTAACCGAAATAATCATTGAAATCCTATCAAAGATACATTAATACTGGTCTAGCAACACAACATAATATAATAATATTTTACAATAATACTTTTACTTTTTTTATTCATGTAGATTAATATAAAGCTTGTTATTCGTTGGATAGTTGGCTGTTAACATGTAAATTCATAGTAATGAGGTGTAGGATCGCGATGTTAGCTCCGGCGGGCATTATGCAGATATCGCGCAGTTAACCGCCGCGCCGCCGCGCCGCAACAAGTAAAGCCGGGGAACGTTTGTGTGCCGCAAAGACCTGCCTTCCCCGTCCCCATCGCATCGCCTGCTATGCGACTATTTTGGAATTTTAACAAGTTTTACAACCTCATTCCTTTTATATTCACAGTCATGAAATGCTTACTAAAGTAATTATTCGATTGTACGTTTTATACTACTACTAAAGAGTTGTGAAACCAGGAGACCGATTTAGTTTATATTATTAGTGTTTCTATATCAGCCAATAGTCTACCATTACTAGATTAGCCCATATAAAAGAAATCTCTTGTCGTTCTTATCCAATTGATAATACTCATCTCTGTAATTTTAGAGTGAATATTTAAATTTGTAAAATCACAAACCTATTATCTTGTTTTATGAATCGTGATACTATTGTTATTATATTTGATTTGTATAAATTAACACTCGTTTAGTAAAGGCAGAAAAGCGGCCGGATCGTATGGAATGGTAGAACATTCCGGTAAGAGAACGCAGCAAGTTATACGCTCGCGTGTTGTGTTTAAGCAGCAGATGTTTTTAAACTAAACGCCTTATTTGTTTTATTTTTCCAAGAGAGACATTTTCACAGCGCAATTACCGTTCTATTTTAGTCACGTACCATTCTCATCGAGCTCATAGATTCATTTTTAATGCTCAATTAAAACCGAGTGGAGCAAAAAATGACTGCATGAATGTATTTTACCAGAAGATTATTAAGCTGCGAAGAATAGTTTTTTTTAATCCGCGCGGACGGAGTCGCGGGTGACAGCTAGTTCAATTTATAAATTAATAAATAAGTACGAGTATGATATGTCCAACTTTGATAAAACTAGATATCACCTCTACCAGATACCATATCTTGTCGGTGGAAGGAAATATTTTATACAATTCTATTTCCCCAAAGCACAAATATAAACGGCAGGAAATGTTTTTAGATGTGTGTGTTTGGAAAGAGCTTACACCAATATCGGAATCGTAGTCCGCTTACATTTAAAAAGACAGGCCACCGATAAACATTCGCCAGCGTAAGAACTTTACAGAAAATTCCAAGCTGCGGTGAAATTCTAACACAAATTTTATCCTAAACAGTCTCCCCTTTGTGAAATAATTTCTATAGTGCGGTAATGTTAGTCTCACACGATAGCGTAATAGCAAGACATAGCAGGATTGATATTGGTTGAACTCGCATTTTCTGTTTAACAAACCTGTTAAGCCATCGTGTGAAACTAGTATAAGTTTGTAGTTTTGGGTTGCAGAGTGCGAGATCCGTTGCGATACCGCAGTGGTGTTCGCGTAAATCTGTCCGGTGGCGACCACCTCCGTACAGATGCGGTACCACTTTACAGATACGACTCGCTTCCTTTTTTAACCAC